AGTTACGGCTTTGTTTTTGGGTCGATCGACTCTCCATCGACACTTCGAGGTCCCACGGAGTTTCTTTGGCTCCCTTTGATGTCGTTTCCGGAGGACGAGCGATAAGCGCGATAGCCCCGCTGCCCCGGAAAATTGATTTCCCAAACATTTTGCGGATCGAGGGAGCCGGGCGACGTTCAAGTTTTCTGGACCGGTGCGCGCGGACCGGTCTCGTAATAATACTTTGTCCGAGGTGAAATCGATTTCCGGGGGGATTTTACATGGCAAAGGAGCGAGCTCGGAAGGGGAAGTTTATTCGCGGTGGCGATCGTTTTGCAACGGTCGAATACCGAGGGACCTCTTTTTTTTTTTTTTTCTCTCTTCTCGGACGGGGGTGGGTTTCAGAGTGCAACGTGTACGTAATGCGTTACCGTTATCGAAAGATTTGTGGGCGGGCGGGGGGTGGGAGAGGGGGGGGAGAGAGAGAGAGAGAGAGAGAGTTGAGAGAATCGTACCGCTTGGAATACCTTATCTCGCGCTTTGAAGGGTTTCGCTGAGGTTTATCTTTTCGGAAGTTTTGACGAGGTCGACGTGTTCGGGGTCGCGAATCGATCGCCAGGCTGTGTTTTGGGGAGATCCTGATTGTTTACGAAAGAATGTATTTATGTATGAGTCGGTTGTTTGTTAGGTGTATTCATACGATAAACATTTTTCCGTAACAATATCTCTCGTTATACGTATTGTTCACACAGGCACGATGAAGTGACGCATAAGAGAATAATAAAAATGATGAAATTCGAATGGTATCGAGGACAAGGATGTATGAATGATGAACGTATTTTCCATCGTTTCAAACATTGTACGGTAGAAATATCACTCTACTACCTACGTACAAAAATATGAATCAGCATAAGCATCCCCAATCCAGTAGTATATCATCGAAGTAGCTTTATTCGAGTGGTCGATAACAACTCTGTAAAGCTCCATTTTATATCTCCCCAAAAAGTACTTCTTTCCCCGGAACGATGACCCGAAGCTATCCCAGGTACCTTCATCGACCACCCCTTCTATTTCACAACCCCCCCCCACCCCCACCCCCACCCACCCACCCACCCGCCCCCGTCGAATTATGCTTCTCCAGGAATATTCGATTCGCTTGATCAACGAGTGCTTAACTTTTGTGGGACGTCGAATGGGCGGACGAGACGCACGAATGGAATGTTTTCACGAACTCCGACATCCGAGGGGAGTGAAAGGAACGGGAATCCGAGGGAGGAGGCGTGAGAGGGGGTCGACAATTTGATTTTGCAAGCTAGATAAAGAAAGCTTTCTTCCTCGTTATTGGTTACCAGCGAGAGTTCGAGGACCCTCTCGTTCCCTAAACCGAGAGAGGAATTTTCGCCCGACCGTTGAAACGAGACGACGATGGTTCCGTGGCTGTAACCCTTATACAATGAACGCGCCTAATCGAATCCCTTGGCGGGAAAAAGCTCGTCCCTTTCGCGGCGGGAATTTGCGACGTCTAAAAGGAACGGGAGGACAAGGCGTGTCGAGCGATTGAGCTTGACGTGTTCCGATACTATACTTTTAAGTCGAGCCAGACATCCTTGCATTTATCTCGGTTCGCGATGGAGAAACAAATTTTTGTTTGCATTTGAAAATAGAAAAAGATTTTTCGTTGGAATTAACATTGGTAATTTCATTTTTAAAGTAACAGTTTCCAACCTTTCTTCTCGGGTGAGCATCCATTTTTGGTAATCTTTCAATTTACGCGAGGAGTATATTGTTTATACAAATAATAACGTTCTCCCCGTTAATTTGAAACGTAATATCGAAAATTGATTAAAATTACAATGGATTTATTTGTCACTGACAAACATTCTTCTCCGAGTTTAATGTACATGTATCGAAAAATTGATTAAACATTGTGCGCTTGTTACGATTAAATGCGCAACTGTGAAAATACAGGGAACGTGACGTGCGAGCGCAATTGTTAAAATTCTCGTAACACGACGTAAAAGTGCAATAATTACAATACGTACGTCAAACGTGACATCTGCTATGCAGTTTAATTTGTTGCACGCTGATTAACTGAAAATTTCTTCTGTTTTATGTTCGCGTCAACTCGATTGACTTTCGTAATTTAAATGTTTTTTAATTATCGCGAGGATCTGTTAAAAACGTTTTCAGGTCCTCCGCGAACGAGAAAGAGGTAAATTTTACCTAACGGTTGCAGAGGTTCGAACAGGTTTACACACCTTCGAGATGCATTTCCATTTTTACGATGTTTCCATACTTTACTTGGATATAGATTCAAATTTTAAAACCGAATTTCCATCTGAAATGCTGATTGTACGAACAATTACCTGGAATTTCAAACCTGAAGCTGTGTGGCACTGCGGTTTTGGGACTAGGTGGTTATGGGCTTTAACACCTCGGTACTGTTGAGGAACACTGTTTGGAACACCTGCTTATTTTCGATCCATAGAAATAAAAACACATAGTTGCCATGATGATTGCTCCCCCAAATTGGGCAGTGCTGAGAAAAGAATGATTTTCTTCGTGGTGCTTGGACCTAGCAGGTCATAGGTGTCGTTCTTGGATCTTTGGAATGCTATGCGTGGAACACCTACTTATTTTGGATCCAGAGTGATAAAAACACATAGTCGTCACGATGATTGCTCCCCCAAATTGGGCAGTGCTGAGAAAAGAATGATTTTCTTCGTGGTGCTTGGACCTAGCAGGTCATAGGTGTCGGTCTTGGATCTTTGGAATGCTATGCGTGGAACACCTACTTATTTTGGATCCAGAGTGATAAAAACACATAGTCGTCACGATAATTGCTTTTGCTAAATTGGACAGCGCTGAGAAAATAATAATTTTCTTCGTGGTGCTTGGACCTAAGGCCTTATAGACGTAAACCTTGAAACTTTTGAACACAATATCCAGAACACACACTTACAGTGGACCAGTGTCAACAAAAGGACCTATTTATCATAATAATTTCTCCCACTAAACGCATACCATGATGGTAAGCGATAGGTTTTCGTCTCCTTCGCGCAACCCCTATCGATGTATAGTTAGCGCGGGCGAGCTCGGGGGGGTTGAGTGGAATAGCAGAGGAAGGAAGGGTTGAGGCAACTTAAACAGCGGGTAACAAGAAGTAGCAAGTAATAATTGAGTCAGGCAAGTATGCCGCGGACCGCACCGGCGAGCCAGAGAACACCGATGTGGATGTACCTGTTCGGAATTCGAAAACAGAGACGGGGTGGGTAATTCCGGGGACTTCGACGATGGAAGATGGTTTTCCGTTGGTTCGTCGATCGGACAGAATTTGGGTGTTTCTTGGAATATTAACGCGGCGTTGGGATCGGGACCGGCGGAGATCCGACGAGGAAGAGATGGCGGAAGAGTGGGGATCCGACGTGAAGAGTTGAATTTTTAGGAATTATTTTGGGGTGGAACGAATTATTTGGTTGGTTCGGATATACGATGTATAAATGTGTATCGTTTTTAGAGTATGGAAATATTTTCGTTCCCTCTGAAAGTTCATTTTTATTCAAAATGGCGGCCTTATCGTGGACGGTACTTTCTTATGCGCACGTGGGATTTGAATTTTGAAATATGCAAGGAGATTCTTACTAATGAATATGTTTTTTACATCAAGGAATTAAATGGAATTCTTTTTTTTTTTTGTCTGTAAAGCACAGGTACACGTCTAGTTTCTCTATTTTTAATTACTGGACGAACTGAGCATAGTGTCGAAATATCACTCTACGTTTATACACAAAAGAATTGTATATTAGTATAGAAAAATTCGTATGTGTTCATGAGCCAGGCGAGCATAGAAAGTTTCATTTTAATCCGTCGGTGTTGTTTTCCTTAAAAAGAATCACAACGATCGTCTATTTTTCGACCCGTCACACGAGACAAACCCCTGAAGATATTAGTTTGAAACTTTGCACCGCTGCTTATACATATCTCGCTCAGATGCATAAATTTTCTTATAAATATACGCAAAATAGTTTGAAAGATATAGGCTGGTCGCATAACCGATGTAAGAAACGAGTATCCACGCGGTTGATACCTTCTTAGCACTCCCAGTGGACCGAGTACAAACAAAAATTAGAGAAACTACCAATGTAGTGCTGTTACAATCGCAACAACACGAAGTAAAAAAACATGAAAAATCAGTACAATACTTCGCAATACGATGTATCGATTTCCTTCGTAAAGATTCTTCAGTTTAATGCATGAAAAGATAATTCATCGCTACTGCTACGAAGATACTTATACTTTACACAAACACAATTCGTTTATTACCTTAGTAAAATTACGACAATTATAGAAAAATTAAAATAGAATTTGCTTTTTTATAATGCTAGAGTGGAATATTACTTAAATATCGCCATGGCATTCTATATATAAAAATTAAATCGCGCTAAACAATAATCGAATCGAAACCACCGCAGTAAATGGTTTAGTTTGCGTGCAACAACGCTGTTTAATATTTAATCGATGTCCGATGTAACGTTTCCGACGGCATTAATATTTAACGACGTGTTCGAAATTTCGACATGTAATTCGACATGTTATTATCATCCAACGACGCAGTTCCCATTAAATTACTGGACGTCGTTCCCTATTAACAACTATTTCACCGAAATAGCGACATTTCAAAGAGTGTTACATGGAAAAGACTAAAAATTAGCCCTCGGAACCCAATCGCGCGCCACGTTCCCCTAAATATTCGCTTTCCGACCATCTTCTATCCAAATGGAAAATAAAATCTCGCGGCGATCGTAAGGTTAAAGGTTAAAACTGTTAAAAGGGCTTGCGAACAAGCAGGCGCGGTACGGCTCGCAGCATTTCCGAAGTTGCCCGTTTGGCGGCGATATGGGCGATCCGATTTGGGACCGACCGAAACGATTCCTCGTTAGCGATTGATGCGAGTCAGGCTGCGGGACGTCCACGTGGAGACTGGCACGGTTCCGAAGCTGACGCACGGTCCGCGATAAGAAATGTCCCAGAACAACCTCCTCCAAGGATACAACTGTGAGTAACAGCCGACAAAAACGGAAAATTCACCGATTTTACGCGTTTCCCGTCCATTTCTTTCCGCCCGTTCGCGCACCGGGCGAATTTCTGATCGCGTTAACGCGCCGGGAAGTCTCTCGCCGGTCTGTCGCGCCTCCGTCCGTGAAAAATGAGCTGTGATAATGGCGGCTTTCGTTTATTTGCGGACAGCGGCCGGAAAAAAGGCGAGGACCGACAATGTCGGTCTTCTGCCGATCGCGAACCTCGAAATACCGCCGCTTTGACAGTCTTTTCTCTTCGTCTTTCCAATCGTACGCGACGGGTCGACCGGGGAAGCTACGATTTCGACGTGACAATGGCTACCGATTCTTTCGTTGATTTCAGTGGACGCGCGGTGCCGATTTTCTGAACAGCGCGCGTTTATCGTGGTCGTAGCGTCGCTCGTGCAGATGGATTTCGGGCGATTTTAGGGCCGTGTTCTTGGGATCCATTGCTCTCGTTGTGTTTCGTGTACTCGGAAATATATATGTTTTTTGTAGCGGTGAACGGTATTGGTGAAATGATCGTCGTGGAAAGGTGCCTGGGTGTTTGAAATATGTAAATTCACAGGTATTTGTTAGTCTCGCATATATTTAGAAAGTTGTTGATTTTTGTAAGTAATTCTCTTTAGTCTCAGGAATATAATTTTTTATGTCTTAACCGTTACTTGTCATTTCTCTTCATTATTTTTTAATGTACCCCAGATATTTGTTTGGAGACATATAAACAGGGAATCATTGAAATATCTTCATCGCTATTTATTAAATCAACTATATTTTCAATTGGGTCTTTCTAAACTTTTTTTTTTCTTTTTTTTTCAAATAAGTCCATTAGTTCAACAACTTTTCTAGAAAAAACGATTGGCACTAATTTTGTCTCATAGCTGAAATTGTGTCATACTTTATTAATCTCTTTTAATTTCTATAAATCAACGTATAGAAATCTAACGCCTTGGATGAATATTGCGATCGGATTACTGGAATCAGTAGTGAGACGAATCCGTCCGTTGGGCGCAACATTGTCTCGAGAGCATGAGCTCATCGCTCGACGACCATACATTGTATGTAGTATATAGCGATCGCAATGGCGAGGCACCTGCATCGCAAAGTCCATTTAAATTAGTTTATTTCAAACAACGCACTCGAAACGTACCAGTCCATGACGCATTTTCCACGAATCATTAGTTAAGATACCGTCAACGTAAATAAATTATGAAGCATTCTCGAACAATTATCGAACAGTGCGAATTAATTATCTATATTAATTTTATTTATCATTCCCAATTTTTCGTTTTTAAATCGAAAGCCTATTTCTACTTTGTTACGTTACTCTTAAGATATTCCTAAATTGCAGTGAAATAGGGTCGCAACTTGGCTTAAAAAATGATAACTGGGAATTCGAGCTTTTAATCGACATAAAATGGGTAACGCAATTTATTCATTCCATCCCATTACGAATTCTTTTACTTGAGCGCGATCAAATTTCATAGAGAGCATAAAAAATGTGCCGACGTAATAGCAGCTGTAGCTGGCGATGGTTTATTAATTTTTTAAAAAAAAGGAGACAAAGAGATCGTTCCGTCGCGAGAGGTATTAGACTGCGAGAACATCGCGTTCTCCTTTTTCAGTAAGATTCTAAAGAACTTTCTTCTAAGAAACGATCGATATTTTCAGTCCTCGACTTGAAGAGTATCGACAGATAAATAATTTCACCTTGATCGTGTAATTATTTAGCGATGCTCCTTGTTACGAGTTCTTAACTTTCCGTAAATCTGTTTATAACGAACCTGTACAAACAGTTTTATGCATAAATTAGGAGAAAAGGATAAATGTATAAGTTCTTTAGGAAAAGTCACGTAACGAGATCAACTTCTCCTTTCCTTTTTGATCGAAGGATGCTTAAATTTGATAGAATTTGTATGAAATTTGATAGAATTTGTATGAAATTGGTATAAAATCTAATCCATTGGAATTACGGCTTACTCGAATACCCCGTTCTGTGCGAATAAATTTCTACGAGAAGTTTTCATTCATCATCTGTCATTCGACCAACGTTCTTAACATTCCAATCTTTCGGAGTGTCTCAGAAATATTTTAATTGCCATAGTTCCATGTCTAATTTACAGAACAAAATGTCGACAACGCTGATTTCCATAAATTTAAACGCGTTTCGACGATCGCGCGACGTTCTTTTCAGAATTAACCGGCCAACCAGCCGCAGTGGGGGCGGAATTATTATTTCTGAGACAACACAGGCAATTTTCACGAAACTCTGTTGAACTTTTCAGGGGAGTCCCAGTACGAAGATCCGCAGGTGCAATTCTCCCGTTCCATTCCAGACGAGGTCATCAGGTGAGCTTAAACCATTTACATGCGTCAGGGTTGCGTCGGTGTTAGACCTAAGTGATTACACCGTAATCACGTTTACCCTTGGCTTTAATTCCCCGATTCTCTGTCCTTTTATTTTCATGGAAATACTCGGGAAATTTAAAAATAACACGGCGACTCTGTTTAATTAAATAGACGCTTGTGGAGTAACGCAACGGGCTTTTATTTTATTCCCCCCCCCGCTATCCGGAGGGATTTGAAATATAGTGGCACGGAGTCGACGAAATATTGCCGAATCAGTATACGGACTACATTCGTGTATTTTTGTTTCTTCGTTGTAAAATCATCGGACGAGCACGGAATAATAATTTTTTTTTCCATTAGAAAAACTGCTATCTTATATATTTTTTGAAAAGGATTGCGAAAAATGATTATCGTTACTGCGTTGTTAGTGTTTACGAAGTTTACGTGAAAGAAGAGACTGGAGACTGCGATGGGAGGAACGATGTCACCGTCGTACCTGGTTTGCCGTGTACCAATGACCATCAGTTAATCCAGGTAAACCGTTAATTGCTTCCTCCGTTATTGTTCTTATGGAATTTATAAATACCAATCTTTACGATATACTATTATCTGTGTAAAATTTTCTGTCCACGTTTCACCGTCTACAGATATTAATGAGAAAAGAAATACTTTTTTTTAGAATGATTGCATGAATCTGGATGTAGCCATAGACTCCGAGGTGATCAATATCGACGGGAGTGTAACAAAATTGCTTGGAAAGGACGCTTATAAATACAAGGTAATTAAAATCAAATAAATGAAATATCGTTCACTTCGTATAGACTTCGGAAATCTTTTATGCAAAGTGATTTGTTGTCTTCTATGCTCGCCTTCTTCAGCTTTTGGAACAACATGCCAATATGCCCGAAGATAACGTTATGGTGTACTCGCATCCTGTCGCGGAGGCTCCTTCCTCGTCCGCCACTCGTATGATCGATAAAGATGATCCAAGATCGAAGCTCCATTTTGTCAAGTACCTAAAGCGCGATGGGAAGACACTGAAAATATGGGAGTGCGGAATTTGTGAGTAACTTTACACCAAACGATTAAAATATCGATCACTTTAAACTCGATAATTACTTCTATACTTTAAAAAAGAAACCACACTTCCGTTATTTCTGAGAAATTAAAAATAACGAATTATTTACTATAACTACTCCAATACTCACTCTTTATTCAATTCTCTACCAACAAAAATACGATTCCTTTCAGCGAACCCTTTTTTAAATATAAATTAACGCTCCTCCACCTCGAATTTATTTAATTTGTATCTAATTAAAATTAGATAGATTCACGGTACCTATCGATAATATGAACAAAAGTACAAGATGAATCGGTGCCGAATTCGAGGACAATATAATTAAAGCGCAGAATACATAGATTGCTCAGCAATGATCCCACAAGTCACCCGAGGGTTGAATCGAGGATAAAGAGAGATTCTCTGCTCGATCCAACCTCCACTCGGTCAAACACTCGGGGAAAAGTGCTTGAAGCTTGATATTCCAACTAGGTTCGAAGGAGTTCCGGCATCAGTACACCTTGATGAGACATTTGCCAACTCACACCGACGAGAGGAACTTTAAATGCGAAGCTTGCGGCAAAGCTTTCCGCCAGTTATCGACACTGAGCCAGCACAAGGCGATACACAGCGACGCCCGACCGTACGTCTGTGAATTTTGCAAGAAAACTTTCAACAGGTCAGCACGTGAATCGATACGTAATTCCTCCGCGACGTCCTTCTCTGATTTCGACTTACTTTCAGCTTTTCCTATCGCGCGCTGTACGTCCTATTCGTCGCCCGCTCGATTCAACGGGGTGGCTTGATAACATTTTTAAAGCATTTTTGTGGATGATATTATTAATTTGGAACACTGCGAAATGAATTTTACCCGTCATTCGTCAATTCCTCAAATTCCATAGCGCTTTAATCAGTTCAATTTTGTTCAGTCTTACCGAATCTCTAACGCAACAGAACTTTCGACGTTTTAGTGCGTAGGTTTAGCAACTTGCCCCAAAGTTGTCCAGGAATCATCCGATCTAACAACGAAAACTCAAGGAAACGATAAAAGTCGATATTTTTCTCAACTCACTCCGCTCAACCGTCGCTTGAGGTATTTTTTTTTAACGTACGGTGCGTAGAGAAATTAAAACTGCAATTTCCGTCAGGAATATAATAACGTCACGTACACGCGCGTAGCTCATTAGCGTTTTGAATCGCGGCGAAATCGCGAAACGCGGAAGGAAATTTTTAACGAGCGCGACATTTTTGTTTTTCCACAAATTAATTTTAATAAAGCGCGGCCTTTAAATGAACTTGCTTAAATTCGTTACGCACAGGAAATCCACGACTGGTTATCCTTTACATTTTCAAGGGACACTTGTTAGGATACTTGTACCGAATTAAATATCTTTCTCGTTTTTGCAGAGTGTCTACGTTGATCTCCCATCGGAAAACTCACTCGGAACACAAGCCGCACAAGTGCCAGGTTTGCGGGAAGGGATTCCATCAAAAAGGTAATTATTTCTCCTGCAATGTTTCCATCGAATTAATAATAATTCTGTTTGTTTATTTCGTACACGTTTACATTTCATTTCTCAATTTAATAAGCAGCAATTCTCTGTTTCTTTGGCCTTGCAAACAAATTCCTATCAAATTAAATATAAATTCCTGTACTAAAGTTTCGGAAACTTTTACAATCTATATTACTTTCAATTTTCATGCTACATCCTCCATTTGATACATTTATGCTCGAAAGTGACTTTAATAAACCTCGATCAAAAACGTTGCCAACAAAATAATCTCATCCAGTGAACTTGTTTCCGAGAACCAAAGAACCGGAACATTTTAATTATCGAACTATTCGAGATTAAATATATAACCAAACAGTCGTTTTCACCTACCACTTGATAATTATACGAAACACCCTCCCGCAAACAGGCCCGAATTTCTGCGATCACATTGCGCGATGCACAAAACGATAACAAGCGCTAACGGCTAAATACACGTTTCGTTGTCAGGCAATTTGAGGAACCACGTATTTACTCATACGAACGAGAGGCCGTACAAATGCGAGCTCTGCGGCAAAGGCTTCAATCAAATGTCGAATTTGGTCTGCCACAAGGTCAAAGCGCACGCACACGCGGAGAAAATGCAGTACGTGTGCGGAATCTGCGGCAAAGAGTTTCCGCGTCGATTCTCTTTGAGATCGCACGAGGAGTACAAGCACGGCATAAAGTATCGACATCCGACCGCATCCCAGCCGGGAGTGAACGATCCGAACATCATAAGAAAGTAGGTAGACGTCGCGAATGATGCTTAATTCGTTCATCGACTGACAGCCTTTCCGCGCGGATGAATGCACGCCGTTGGAATGTTGATTTTTCCAGTCAGCGAAAAACCAGGCGCTTTTCCCGCCTTGCGCCACGTCGTATCCCCCTTTTTCGTAAATTGACTCCTACCGATCTTTCACGGACGGTCCTCGTCGGAACCTGTATCTAGGGAGCGCGCCAACCCTTCGCGATGTCGTAATGCACGATCTGTAGTCGATACGTTGCATTTTATATGCGCGGGGAGAAAGAAAGATCAGACATGAAGGGTTGCGCCGCTGGTGGCGGGCAAAAAGAGGGGATGTTTGTTATTTTTTCGTGGGCGAAACATGCGCGTCGCGCTTCAATTATCTGGCGATCGAGAGTTGTCCCAAAAAGGGTTTTAGAATTTTTTTTTTAGAGAACGGTAATGGGAGTGTATCCATTTCTTTTTTTTTTTTTTTATTTTATTTCAAGTGAAAGATGGTATTTAATATCGAAACTACCAACGTGGTTAAATTATGTGGACAATTATTCGAACGGAGAATTGATTTGGGTGACCATTGCTCCTCGTTCCTTTAATTAGAAAGATATTGGTTTTCGTATGTATAATAAGCACGTGTCTGACGGGTGTGTATTTTTTCATTAAAAGAATAGAATCTTGAAGCTTCTTTTGGTGAACCCCTTATATCGGTTAAAAAGAAGTCGTTCGGATGAACAGACAGGAGAGCTTCCTGTGGAATTTGTTTATATGTAAATATAGTTATACTGCTCCAATATCTAGATTTCTTTTCTCTTTTTCGATTTCTACGTACGTATGCACCGGCATTCGGGAGTGTTTATATATGTACCGATTATTGGTCATCTAAAATTCATCGATTTCACTCACCGCAACGGTGTTCATACGCGGTCGTGACCTGAATCAACCGATGATGTAATATTTAAATACGTCACTAGTATCCGCATTATCCAAATATCGCACATGTATCGATACTCGTTTGAATAATAATATTAACATAACGATGCTCGAATAATTACACACGAATAGTAATTTTCGAAAACTCGTATAGCAATATCCCAACGCGAGTATTTCAACGATACTATTCGAGTAATAATTCGTTCAATGAATAGGTTGCTAGATTCTTGATGGCTGAGAAAGAGAATCAATTATCATTTGATAACGTACGCAAGATGAAACGATCTTTCTATCTGTTATTCAGTGAGCGGTTCTAGCGTTGATTCTGACATGAACTTGTGGCTTGTCTCGACCACTCTCATTTGGCCAACTAACAGACTGTAACTAATTCGCTTTCCAATCACTGTGCAATTTAACCTCTTCCACTCGCATTACACAGTCATGTCGCGTGCTTCTTGATTGCAAAGCTCAACATGTCGTTCAAGAATACACTCGGACGGTATCCGTCAGATGCTCGTTTTGTTAGCAATTTGTACAGAACGAAGCGATATATTTATCCACCCTTAACGTTTAAGAAGCTCGATGAATTATAGTTATTACATTAAACATGCAAAGAAATCGTTATGAAATCTTGGCGACATGTGTCGAATGAATGGCGAATGAGTCGAGAATTGTTAAAAATTCGAGACGACGTTTACGCTCGTAAATATCGGTTGCATGAAACTCGATAACGTTCAACTTCCAGTAAAAACGTCAGGATCGTGCAATTGCCCAATGGGGATCGCAATCAGACCATCGAAGTTAGGAACAAGGATCCACTGATCGCGGTTAGTATCTCTGTTATGGAATCAGTTGTCACGTTCGCTAGAAATACTTTTCAACGCGTTAGAATAACAACAGAATAATAACAGAAACACTGTTAATAAAAACGATAATAGAACGCTTTACAAACTATAGTCTAAATTCAGGACGAATGGAATAACAAATTCTATAATCACTGTCTGTTTTGTATAGCCTGACGTCATGGAGTCCGTGGTGATCGACAAGATCGATACGAAGGCGATGGAGATGGCAGTCCTCGAAGGTCAAACGCCCTTCGCCCTCTTGAAACCAGCCAAAGGAATTCCTGTCCTCGTCAAAGTCTCCCCAACTGGAACTCACAAAAATGTAAGTCTCTCCTTCAAAATATCCTCAAACTTCGCTTAAAACTAGCGAACACGCGCGTACAATCCGATCTAATTATGAAATAGACACGAGCTCGAGGAATTTCATCTTCTTGAAAACTGAAATCAAAATGAACTCGATTAATGAAACGTATATCATCGATTGTCTTAGATTTTGACGCCAGCGACGGCCGAGGATCTACGAATGGCGGGGAAGATGACTCTGAGCCCGACGATCGCATCCGATGCGGACAGAATCAAGGCTGTACAGATCAAAGTACCCGTGGTGGCCACTGTGATCCAGAACGTGGATCTCGATGGAAAGATCAGTTTCATCGTTGAGCCACCCGGACCTGAAAATGAACACGGTGACGATTCTTGTTGTCAAACGAAGGATCGCGTTAGGTCTTACGTGGGAATTTGAGGTCGAGAGGGTGTCCACTACTTCTTGTGCAAAACTAAAGCGTCAAGATCGCACAGAGCTGCAAATAGAATCAGAAAATAATTTTTGTACGAAAGATCCTGCTTCGAAAGAATATTAAAAGGTCAATGAAGGAGGAGAGGAGCAAGATCCTCCTCGCTCAAAAGTTACAAAAATATATCCCCGGAAATAGATCACGATTCTAAATTAAATGTCCAAACGTCCAAAGTGTCGTCTTGCTTTTTATCGAGTTGAATACAATTCCATTCGAAACCTTCCCAAACGCTCGTAAAACTCGCCGCACGTCCTTAGGCGCGAACAGTCCCATGAGACTTGAACGGGTGCCCTTTCATCGCGAATCGATCCCAACGTTCTCAGCGATCTAATCGTTTCGCGACACGACGTTAACTCGATAACACCCAGTCGCGAGGAATTCGTCGCGAATGCTGGGACGTCGTTGTCCGTCGATAATTGGCTCGTTATAGCGGCGATGTTTTTCGAACTGTCGCGGCTATGTGGTCTTTATTTGGTGCATTGTCGACAGAGAGCCTGGTCACGGCATTGGATTCTCAGTTCACGTACACCGAGGCCCCGAGAAACGAGCCAGATCGCCAGAACGGTCTTGTCGTATCCTCGGCGATGGAGGATTGCAACGAGCTGCTGGAATTGGCCGCCCAGGGTGGAATACAATTCGTGCGAGCGACCGAGGATGGTCGTTACGAGGTGATGAACGGATCGATTATGATTTTCGTATTTGTGTACGGGTGGTTATTGCGTGCACCCTAGAAACGGGCTGCGTTACTTCGGGTGTGGTGGCTTCTTTCCTAGGATCCTCTCCTCGAGTAGAACGGTTCGTAGCGAGCATTTAAACGGGTGCTTTTCTTCCTAGCGGTCGAAAAGTAAATTCTTCAAGGCCTTCGGAATATCTGTAATTACATGAAATTTTGAAATTGTCAGGGTTGTAACCGTATACAGGGTGTCCCAAAACTCGGGGAGGAGCCGGAAATTGGGGGTAGCTGAGACGATTCCGAACAACAATTTCCTTTGCAAAAATGTCGGATGGTGCTTCGTTAAGGAGATATCAAGCGAAAACCCCGACCAATCAGAGCGCGCGTAGCCTACGCTACCGCGGCCGCTCCAACGGTCTACGCGCGCTCTGATTGGTCGGGGTTTTCTCTCAATATCTCCTCAACGAAGCCCCATCCGACATTTTTGCAAAGGAAATTGTTGTTCGAAATCGTCTCAGCTACCCTCCATTTCCGACTCCTCCCCGAGTTTTGGGACACCCTGTATACGGTTACACCCTGTATATCTCTGCAACTGATGCATCGGAGCTATCAAGGACGACGCATCCCTGTTAAGCATACGCTATCTTTTTTTTTTTTATTTTACCCTGTTTTAATGTAGCGAGAGCATTGTTAATCATCGATTGATTTTCAAAGGAATTTGCGATCTTCCTTGCAATCTTACATGTACTTGTGATACTATGTACATAGGAAAGAAGAGACTCCAAAGGCTCGAAAACTGAAACCATACTTGGCATCACTTTATTTATTAAACCCATTTAGACGTTCAGATAATCGTTAGATTTTCGAGTATCGTTGTATTTACTGTACTTAGCCAATTCCTTTGGGCAGGTGATGACGAACAGCGAAGCCCGCGACTTGATGGCGCAGAACTCCCACGACGTGACCATCCTGGACGGCGAGGAAGCGGACGCAATCAATGTGGTGAATATGCGCGGCAACGGGGACGTCATCATCGGGGATTCCGATAATCAGATCATGGTACTCGACTCGGCATCGACGCAGAAGCCCGTGCCGATGGACACTATCGAGATCCTGGAGGACAAGGACATCAGAATTCTTGACAGCAAGGGCCTCGAGGATCGTTTCGTGGACGGTATTAGTTTCCTCTCGCAGCCGAAAATCGATGATTTGATCCTCGGCTCGAAACCTTTGTCCATCGATGGCGGCGCGGCTGTCAACGAACACGAAGACGAAGGTATAAGGCTCTCTGCGTCGCTATTATTTATTGGACAGTTGTTTGCGAGCCACTTTGAAGTTTCTAATGAAAATATACGCAGCACCACGAGATCGACTGATTAGGCGGAGTAAAAGTAGTTCTTTTATCGAAGCAAGATATACCTGATATAAATTGATGGATATATATATATACAACTTCACACGTCGGAGACCTGTCGATGACTGGCGCTTGACTGTGCTTCTCCGATTACCGTCTGTTTGACTCTCGCTGCTTACAATCAGTCTTATAAACAAAAAAGATACGCTTCCGGGGTGCACGTGTGCGCGTCCCTTTGATTTCGGCCGACGGGTGTCCACTTGAAAAGCCATGCCGCCTTTATCGCGCCCATCCTACGTGCATATGCGCGTTCGTTCAATTTATATCAAGGTATATAACGAAGTGTCGGAAAACGTTTCTATCGAAGTTAAATTACGCTCGTCAAATTTATTTTGCTGAAAAATTGTTAAGCAACAAGTAATCATAATTTTTCATTGACAGTAAAGTTTTCTCAAGCTCGTAACAGTGCTCGTGGTACTCGGTTATGAAATAACGCCTCAACTAGAACTCAAATATTTGTATCTCTTAAATTGTCTGAAGCTCCTTAACGAGACCGTCGACGACATTATGTAATCTATAAAAGAAAGATTTTCGAAGCTTCTTAGATACATGTTTCGCTAAATTTCGTTCTAGGCATAGGACTGCCATCGAACCAACAAGAATTAACGAGCATTCTCAGCCATCGAAGCGACTTTTCTACCCTTTCGAACGCGTCGCAGGCATCGATATCCTCCCTGTTGCTGAAAAGTCATCCACCGTTGTCGATGCTGAGCGAATCGCTTCCGTACCTGAAGAGCAACACGAGCCTGACGGAGGATTTGAATATTCTGGGCAACTCGACCATGGAAGACCATCACTCTGTCTACGACTCCAAGATGAAGTTACCCTCTGTTTTCGACGACAGCGAGTCTGACGCAGGATTGATACCCATCAGCCAGGCGGACATGAAGCTGTTGGGTTCGATACATCAAAAAACCAAGGTAACGCTTTCGAAACAAGGAAATATGTTGGGAGAACCGTTAATTCTAAACAGTTAGGTTAAGTTTAAATAGTTGAAATGGTTCATTTTAAATAGCCAATTTGAATAACCTAATTTTAAACGAAGTTCGATGTTTCATGCGAAGGTCCTGGGCAGTAAAATGAATTGTCTATCATCGTCGAAGCTGTTCTCCGGCTTGGGCGAAGTGAAAATCTTGGGCCCCAAGAACCACGCTCAGGAAATCATGGCGCCTCAGTATTCAGACATCAAATTACTAAGTTCGTACGAGCAGTTTTTGAAGAACACAGCTTCGAACACGAACGGCTGCGATACCAACGTCGTGAACACCTTCGGCGGATGCAGGAAGGAGGTAAAGATTCTTGGAAAGAAGTTGGGAACGGGCATTATCACCAGCACGGAGGATGGCAACGTCGTGGAGGTCGTCGAAGAGAAAACTAAATTGGTAAAAAACTTCACGTTACCCTTTAATTTATACGAACCATTAATCGTGCTCTTGTTTCGAATTTTTCCATCTCTTTTAATCGAAAATTTGAAAGAATCCCAATATTACGAAATCACAAGAATCGCTCGAACGAGGTCCTCGCCCGAGCTGCTCCAGTTGGCGTTTAGCTACGATTTTCACGATTGCTCCGCGATGTACGAACGCATTTTACGAAGACGAATTCCATAAACAATTTTCAATTTACTCCAAAGCTAGCGAAGCTCGGGAACTTGTTCCCAATTCCCACAACTGAACCAAAACTATATATTAGGTGGACTGGAAAGCAATGGTCGTTTTTGCAATCTGAAATATTTGTTTGTCGTTCATCGAGCTCATCGATTTTGTTGGCATTGAAAATATGACGAATTAAAGATAGAAATTTATTGGAAAATTTGTTTGAATTTAATGCGAAAGAAACGACATTACTTCGATTATTTCCGGTCTACCTAACACTTTCAGAGATATCCAGCGATTCCCCTTGCGTGTAAAGAACTCTGTTATTTTAAAGATGATGGACGCCGCAGGAGGTTTTTGCAACAACGTGGACGACAACACGGTGATTTCATCCCCCCGATTGGAGAGGCAGATCGCCGAAAATGGCGTCCCCGACAGTTTCTTTCTCCAAGTAAATCATCACACAGCAACCCCTCCGTAGTCCGTCGTAACAATCATTTTCCTGTTCACGCAGGCTTGCAGTCCGTGCGACTCGGACTTTCTGAATTTCGATAACCGTCTGAAAGACACCTCGCCCGGCAGCCATTACGAGAGAGCCCAAAAGGATTCCAGGGACAGCTTCTGCTGCACCGGCGGTCTGCCCGATCTCGATTGACGAAGAATCCGATTCCATCCCCGAAACCCCCTTCAGTCTTGCCTCGCCGTGAAAGAGTGTCGTGCGACGTTAGGAACTTTGTCGGCGACCGCTGATATCTCCCCGTGGCTGCGGAGGATTTAATTAGAGCACTTCGGACGTGCGAATCGCTCGTACGTGGACGAACGCCTTGATTCGGATTCCATCGTATCGGCCGATCCGGTTCGACGATTCGTTGACCGCGTGCGATTAGTAGAATTTTGTTTTATACCCCTTGGACTCGAATGCTGTTTATTAGAATTCTTGTGCTCGACCGTCCCGCGCGCATCGATTTTATCCTGTTAGACGTTATTCTCGCGCTGAATCTTTTTTTTTCTCAATTTCTTTACGCGTCGTTTTACTGTAGCCAATTTTTTTTTTTCGGCCGATTCTCGCGCCGAATCGGGCAGAAATCGTAGTTTCGACGGCTTGGAAACTTTCGAACGGAACCTTTATCACAAATTGCGGAAGACGGTGCTGAGTTCGAATTTCTTTCTTTCTTTCTTTTTTTTTTTTTTTTTTTAGCTCAAATTTTTCCTATATTCGAGTAATCGTTTTATTCGAGAGTCGCGTATTCGCTCGCCTCGATGCGCACCGCACGAAAGAAAAAAATATATATAAAAAAAAAATATGGACGGAACAAAAAACAGAAAACACACAAATAAAAATTGACACGGATATTCGTCGGAGTCTCTAGAAACGGGTGCATCATACCATGCATCGGGAATTCAAATGAGGTTTCGCGATTCGCGCGAATGCTAATGATTTTATTCACGGGAGAAAGAGAGATATACAGAGGGGAAAAAAAAAAAAACATTGCATTTTTTCGCAGCGTCCGCCCGATCGCTTGTAAATTTCAATTCTCACGAACGTGCACGCGACCCGTGTTCAAATATGCATTGTTAATTTTCCGAGTTTCTGTTTTTAACGTGACCGATTACATTGTATAAATTCGAATAGTATTTTATATTTGAATTTCGAGGTTGAAGAATAAATTGTGTGCAGAAAATCATCGAGCGTAAGTTTGTCCTGTGCGATCGATATCGAAGCTTTTCGAATAAAGGATGAAAGGGTTAACGTTCTAAACTATTCTGGATCGCTCTCTTAATTTAACGGTACAGGCAGATTAATATTCCGCCACGCATCGGGCACGAAATACCCGGAGCAAAAAGTACGAAACACGCGATTGTTGCAACGCGTAGCCGTGGCGTCGGAAAGGATTTTAAAGTCCACGGGGAATCCCCCAAGTTTTTACCCGTCTTTGGCCGTTGATTCGACATAACACATGTCACTGCCGCTTTGCACTTGCCGTGCGTACTCCACCGTGTGATACATATTACGGTTTTTCCGTTCCCGTTTCCCGAAGCCGGCGGGATCACCGAATTCGATAAAATTTACTCAACAGAAGGTAACGGCGTATGTTTGCACCGGCGACGTTCTCTATCTACCTTCATTTCCGGTTCAAGCTATCCTCTCCCCCGTTTCCTCGCTCTCTTACACGTCCCGCGAAGCGGACTTGAATCAAGTTGGGTCAGGTCGTGCTCATGTCTCACGCCCCCGCGCGGAGAGATAAAAGGAAATCGTCGCGGGGAAAATTTCTAGCAGACTGAACAGAGCCTTAGCCGTTTTCCCGGGGCTTTCTTCTTTATATCGTTGCACTTCGCTCTCTCCGCCACTGTTTCGATAATGTCGTAGCCTGCAGAATTTCATTTCGACCGTTGTTCGCGCCGAGCTTTAATGAAATTTGAGAAACAAGATCGTTCGACGTCCGACGTTTCATTTATCCGGTCTCCCTTCCTTTGCTTCCCACCCTTTTCGCTATGATATCGCGATTTTACGTACTCCGTATTAATCCGGAGATATTAAGGAAAGTCTCGTTCGAATCGATCCGGTACTTTTCGGGATTAGCTACCGCGAACAAACGGAACGCGCTTTAATTCCTTGTGCGTAAAGAGTCTTGCGAAAGGGCCTTTGGGATTTTGGTTTTCGACGAAACGCGAATGGCACGGGCTTTGCAGTAGATCTCTTTCTTTTAAACGACAGCTGAGGCGCCACGACTATCCTGACTGTATTTTGTTGAAATATAAAATTCCGAAGCCGCTTTGGGAAAACCGTTTGTGTATTAAAAAAAACTATAGGTCCATAAGATGGGAGCAAACATTTGGGTATTTCGAAGAGAGTATTTGACAATTTCACACTGATCTTGATTCGTGTCAGTTGTAATTATTAAGAATTTACATCTGGCTAACGCTGAAATATTTATTAACTAAGTGCAAGGTATCTCCATACTTGGCTCGATTTACATAAATATATCTCTCGTTTTTTCCCCGTCCTTTGGTGCGATTCCTAGATTACGGTAGGTATGCAGTTACACTCTACATAAATCACGAGAAACTAAATTTGTTCATATTACTTAGCCATTTCTTTTGTTTTCACTTTTTCAGTCATGGTCGTTTCGAGCCTTACAGAAACCAGATTGTCCTTTAAATTCGTCGATATAGTTGGACTCACGATATAATATTGTAAATAAATGTAAATACCGATACAGACGATACAGCACAATCGAGAATTCCGATTCAGGCGACTTTAACAAATTTCGTGAAACGACAGAGCTCCCGGGCGACGAACTTTTATTCACCGAAAATTGCGTCAACGATTTGACGTAATGCCATTGACTTCTTCGTTTCCGTCTTGCTCTTCGTCTCGACGTGGTACGCAGAGACGTTCGCATCCAGCGTGTGTGGACGGAGATCGAATTTGCGAAATGGCTGTGTACGAGGGTTGAATTTCTGACGAGGTAATACGCGGCGAGAGGGGAGACGGTACAGGGGGCGCGGAAGGGGTCGCAGACTGACGTCCCGCGGATGGCGGAGGACGGAAAAAAGTTGTAAGGGGAGAAATTCGAAGTGAATTCCCCTAAAATAGGCGTCCCGTCAATTCGTTGCTTCACGGCTGACGACGAGTCGCCCGCGTGTCTTTCTTCGGGAGAGTAGTTCGAACGGGTGCGACGATTTCGCCTATTCTTCGACGGCATTAGTTGGAATTTAAAGGGTGCTTCTATTTTGGTCCGTAACTCGATGCGTCGTTCTTATTTTTTTTTTTTTTTTTTTTAAAGGAAGGTGAAAGTTTCTCGGGGTGAAAAGGAGGCCATTTTTAGGAGCTTGTATTTTGAAAAGTAATCGTGATAACAAATTCGAGCTACGTATATCTGCAGAAGGTATGAGCTAAGCAACAGCTAAGAAAAGGAAAGCGTAAGCAAAAAAAAAAGATAGGCGACTGGAGTGGATCAAAACGTCGTCAAGTTCATCTATAACATGAAAAAAGGGAGCTGGGTATTCTTGATCTTTATGAGGGTGGTTATAGCCGGCACTAAAAAATATAAAATACTACCCGAAAATCCACCGATGGTACTACCGATAGCGAAGTACGTGCGTGATACTACCACGGCCACATGATGATATTCTTAATAACGACTATATTAGAAAATAAACACTTTCTGGAACTAGAAATTGATTTTTTACAAATATACAGTAATTCCAGCGTCAACTGTACTACTAACTGTAGGCAGGTGTTTTTTTTTTTATCATTTAACGCCCAATTTAAGAAAATAGTACTAACGTATGATTGGTATCAGGTACAGATATTTCATCCAAACCAACTAGAAATTTGCTCGAGTAGCTTAATTTTTATAGCGAAACTTCCGCAAGGAATGTTCGTGTTCGGAAGCATATTAAATCCGAACGATCTACTCCCGCTCTCGTTACCTTTTTTTAACGAAATTACCGTCCAGCTGGATTCAGGGTTTCGGCGGTATTAGGAGGGTTCAGGTTTCGCTCCGTTTACGACTAAGAGGCGTAACGACTCTTCTTGCCCCTATTCACGCTGGTAAATTGTTGAGAATACCGCGAGAGAATAATGCGCGACTCCTCCCCGACGACTCGAAATAAGTGTACTCGTGGCTGCTGAAGTTTTATCGGGTCGCCTGAATTATGGTGGCCGGGTACTCGTCGCGTCACGATCCTACGAACCCTTGAACGTATCAGAAACTCGAGCGTTCCATCCGTGGCTGATATATTTTGCAAATGATCTCTTTTTGCAAGAAGAAGAAGAATGCTCATTTTGATGAATCCGTTTACCTCGAATCATTTTCTCCACGGCGCTAGTTGTAACTGAAAACAGTTTTTTGTGAATTGTTCCATCGCAGAATCAACGGTGTTACGTTTAACGTTATCTATTTTCTCTGATTTATGTAATATGAATTTTTTTTTTTTTTTTTTATTACGAGGCTGTAGATTTTATATATCCATTATGTGTTTATATGTAAACGACGGGTGCGAAACAAGCACGGAATAAATTTTATTGACGTTAGTATTTTGTTTCGTATCGATGCAGTAATGATATTGTTATTTCATATTAATTAAATTAGCCCATATAAATGCATGTATATCGGGTATTAAAGAAGATCAATTCAATTTAAATTGAAAGCAAATAAGTAGAATTTCATTTGATTAGAAGCGAACGATTAAATCATTCCAAGAGTATGGGCTGTATTACGCAAAATTTACGACGGTAGAAACATGAAACGAGTATTAATTATTTTTTATCGTTATGATTTCGCATCGACTGACCCAATACTACAAAGAATTCTGTCCGAGTTCTGTTGTCGGCGAGTGTGACGTTAATATTGCACGTACGCAGAATTTTAGCCGACAGGAATTAAATAGAATTGCGGCGGAAACGCGATTACCAAAATTTAATTACGGAACCCTGCCTCCGATGCAAATTGCTTTTGCGGAACATTTGTAGGCGTTACAAAATGTTCACTTTCCGAAGTCTGAACCCGTCACGAACTTACCGTAGCGAATATCCACTAACGTTCAGCGTAACTGTTAGCTGAGTCTCGAATAATAACGAAAGAAAATTTTGGAGTACATTTCACCTTTGTTGATAGATTGCATCTGAGATAATAACGAGCCGAAGAACAAATATTGTTAACGTTTCAAGTATCTCAATTATTCAGCAATCATTAGTTGCGAGTTCTCGACGAATAAATATTCTATACACATTTTTTTCCAACCCTCACCATGCTCTATATTGTTCTTCGATTCATAAATAAGAGATCCGAAAGTAATTCGTTACGGTTGCTTGGACAGTTAAAAATGTTTGAAAATTGTTACGAGTTCGAATAATATTCGCCACGATCACGAGCGAATTTCCACTTCGTATCCAATATCATAGACGCGAAAATAATTCTGGAAAGTGATCGAACATCGCGTATCCGCGCTTCCCATCGAACGACGATATTTGCATACGATCTGAATCTATGACGCGTGTCATGTTAATCGGGTTACATGCATTAAGTCGCCCCCAATTATTTAAAATTCATTGGCAGATCGATCGGCCTTGTTTCCGCGAGCCGCGCGCGTCACGCGCCAGGCTTCGTTATCATATTTGCGGACAATATTTATAAACAATTAACTTCGTATTCCGTTTAGATTAAATTCAT